CTACCTAGCAGACGGAGCACCAATCAAGTAATTCGCACTCAACTGCGGAGGGAAAAACGAGATTAAATCACTTAAACGCAATGTAATTACGTAAACTGAATATCCGAATGCGATAATTATTCTAGGTGTGTAACAAATACATCGACCTATTTAAAATAGTTAACAACGCGACAACGGTAATATGATAATTAACTCGACATTATTTTACGCGAATTAGAGTATTAAAATACAAGAGTGAAATAAATATTTGGCAAATGAAGTGCAGGCGTGCATTAAGAGAATAAAATAATTTATCCTTTAATGAATTGAGAAACAAAACATGGCACCACACTGCAAACAGACGCGGCAACCATCCGGAAGCCATGAAGACTATAAGAAGACAACAGCCGCGAAAGCCTGAAAGCCAAAATAATAACATCGCTGGCGTGTAGCTGGGGAAAGAGAAGTCATTTAATTTTTGTCACCCGTAAGCCATCAACCAATCGATTATAATAAAAGTTAGCCCGAAGTCAATGAGCTATTTATATTAATGATTTCGTCTCATCTCGGCAAACAGATAGAAACGACAAATCGATGCGCCTCCTCGGATACGAAGACGACTGCTGTCGAAGGCCAACGTAATAAAACGAAGATAGGCTTACGTAAAGATTCACTCGTCGCAAAAGCTTATTTACATATAGTGCTAATTATGCCTCCGTTCAGGTGTGCGGCTATTGAAGGTGCACACACACACACACACACACACACATACATATATATATATATATATATATATCTGTATCTATATACATGGAATTGCGACTCTGGTCAAGGCTGGAGGATGCCTCATGCTCGAAGAGTGCAGATAGAAAATACTCCAAGTTTTGTTTAATTATCTAACGCGTTCGAAGGTTTCGTTAAACTTTACCGCAAGTGCCGGAAAGTGAAAATAGCAAGGTTTCCTTTTCCATCTTTCAATTATCCCCGATTATGAATATTTAAGGCCGCAACTGCGGCACTTAGAATGCTTTCAAATTACTTAAAATTCACCACAAACGCTAGAGCGTTTATCTCTCACATTTATGATGTTACTTTCAGAAGCAAGGGGAAGATATGGCGATAGCATCATCTTTTTATATATATAGATAGATAGATAGAGAGGGAGGAGGGAGAAAGAGACAGAGGAGGATAATGAACCCGGTCGATTAATGGAGGTAACAAGCACGTCACGGTAATATCGCTTAATTGTACATTCCAATTAATCTTTTTGCGCCGCCGTCTTACTTGCTGTAAAACTACTGGCATTCATCAGACTGTAACCAAGGTCAGTACTCACGCGTATTATCTAACGGTAATTTGAATCTGCGACACGCTCAAGAATGCAATGAAAACGAGAGTGAACATTTCTCAACAGCCTATTGTCTCAATTTTCGACTTCGAGCTTCTCCTTTTGCAGCCTCTTCGATCCTACGCTTATATACTTTATCGAAACTTTTATTTAAATCTGCCGCTTCAAGTAATTTCCGACTTTCTGCAGGTCTTTTCGTATTATTTTTTTCTAACAAGACAGAACTTAAGTTATGACAAGTGCGTCGCGGTCTTTCACTTTTCTAGCGAGCAGAGATTATTTATATCACAGATAAATATTTCACGTCGGACGTGCGTGCGTCACATTCCGCGTGTTTCATTTCCCCGTAAATGTTTTTGCAGTGTAACACTCTCGTAAATATCCCTAATTCACGAAATGTTCCGTTCATTAATAAATGTTAAAACGGTTTTATTTCATATTTCCTTTAAGATTGATATCTCGTGTGTATGCGTATACTATTGTATCCTTTTATAAATAAATTTAATCGACTGTGCTACGTACGATTGTCAGCATATCTTAATTATGTATCTTAATTACGAATGTCGTAATCACGTATGTGTATATTGCTATATCATGTCATCTTGAAGCCGAGCACGCTCGTTACCGTCAATAGCCAAAAGCTCGTATTTTCGCATCAATCTCTTTCTTCTTCCTCCTGTCGATGATTCCTTCTACAGTCTTTCACGAAAAATGTTTTTATTTATTTATATTTTTCACAAAAAGCGTCTCTGTCGCTACTCCAGAAGAATTATTTTTAAATAATTTGTCTATAATTCATTAATTGTGCAGATGTAACACAGTTTTCCTTATAAAATTAAATTTTCTCTTGCAACAGTTTGTTATATTATCATTCGTAACGATTGTCACGTCTCGTCCAGTTCATAGTTTATCCAAATTCAAGCTGCGAAATCCCGTATGTGCATATTGTATGTAAATTATAGGACTCTCTTAAGACACACACGTGTCACATTCCGGGCGCGTTTACGGCCTAGGGATTCACGAGAAATGGCAAACGAGCGATTAGAAGGTGCGCCGCGCGTCTCTTGTCTCTATTGATTAGGCTACCGATCGCGTAGGGGTATAAAGGGATTGGCTTCCTTGTCGAGCAGAGCGTGATGGGTCGAGAGGCCGTATTTGTGTCCGATCCTATTATAAATCCACCGGCGATTATGCCGCACGGGCCACGGAAACGCGCCGGATTTTAGCGTCGCAAGTGAAAATGACAAAAATGCGGGCGAAGCTTAACCGCCGCCAGAAGGTATCGCGATCGGTACTTTCCGACATTCGCGGATCTCGGAGCGTTATCGCGCGGTCTCTTGAACTTTGTACGCGAAGCATTAGAATATCAGAGTTCGGCTAACCTTGTATGCAAATTTAATCCGGCGAGATATCGAGTCAATTCCTTGACGCAGGCACCGTATCTCCTTACGGGGACAACGCGAATTTGGGGCGCCAGTCGCGCGATGGATTTCCGAAAGAGCAGCCAAACACTTGCCCCGCTTATGACGATGTATTATTCATCCTCGACTTTATTATTTCGCGGAAACGCCATAACACTGTACCGATTGGCTATTCAGGAACTTCAGAGCGTCGCGCACCACATCCTCTTAACTCGAGTGTCCCGTAATGTTCATACGGATAATGCATGCAAACTCAGTCTGATCGGCTTAATGAGGATGTACCCCGGTCTGAATGGCAAGTGCAAATTACGCGCGCGTGGTCCCGGGGCAAATACCTGTATTAAAGGCTACGACTATGCGTTACTTCCACTCGGCCGGTGGAAGTAACATTACCGTATTTCCGTACGCAAGACAGGAGTATCGCGCGCCGTAAAACGTGCTGATTATTCGACACAACTGTCTCTCGGCGCTATTGTATCCCCCCGCCCCCCTCACAACTCCGTAACGCGTTTCTCATTTAATGAGGTTTTTCAATTTTTATTTTTACGAAATATGTTGTCGGTCACTTTATATCCCCTTCGTTCAAATTTCTCGCGACTATCCGTCCCGATCGCTATCTTAAGCCCAATGTCCACGATGCTAGAACTTGGACCAAGTTCTAGCATCGTGGACATTGGCCTTTAAACAGCCGTTAAAGAGAAAGCAGTACTATTCAATAATCCGAATGAAAATGCGAAAATTGCGATCTCTCGATTCCGTTTTCTATAACGGCGCCGCGGCAGTTTCTCGAAACCTGACCCGAATAGAGTCGTCTAATTAACGCGTCATCGGTTACGTTCGATACCCATCGGTGCCGGGATTACGGCAGGTGGTAACGCCAATGAGAGTCCATCCAGCGGTCGTGCACGGCGGGGAGTTTCGTTTTAGAAATTACGGGCGCCCGCCGTTCCGGCGTTTTTCCTCTCCTGCTCCCTCGTTTTCCGTTTCTCGCGTACACCGCCGCGCCGCACACGCGCGTTGCACAATTAATTGCAATCAGCCTAGCGTTTCTCGTTACTCTCCTGTCCGGGAAGCGCCCGGGTATAATAGCGTTTCTCGCGCCGATGTGGAACCCGAACAACTCATCGTTCCAGCGTCGTATTTATAGCTTCGCGAAGACATGAGAAGTTAGGAGGAAACCCCCTTGCTACGGTAATTCAATCGGAAAAGCTATAAATAAATTCATCAAGTCGTTAACGAAAATACCCTTTCAGCGCAAACGTGTCCGAAAATAATAAAGATTAGTGTGTACTGCACGAGGGTAAAATGCCGGTTAACGCGTGACGACAATAATGGTGCATTGAAAGATCGCGCGAAGCGAATTACCATGAAATTATTAAACAAGTACGCGAGATCGAGGTAAAAGATACTAATTGTAAGCGACGTATTTCTCACATTTATTGTTCAGGAGGTTCGGCAAACTGTCAATATTATCACGCGCAAAGAATGGTGCCAAGGGTTCTTCAAACGTAAAGATAACTTCGACATGGCACTGATAAAAGATATACAAGTGCCACGTTTTCGAGACTCGCGGTAAAACTGCTGGGCGGAAATAATTGCTGAACGAATAAGGGAAGACCGAAGAAATGCAACGTATTAATAGAACACATGCGCGTAATTAACTTCTGTGTAAAAGCAGACACGTACATTCCGTTAAAAGGAAAAGAAAATTTTGATAAATCACTTCGCTTTGCGTTTAAATGCTACCCTCCAAGTTTTGTGAATCACAAAATTTATCCCGTAGCGGTTGCATCAGTTGTGTTACGCGATTGCAATTGCTGTACTTGGCTACGCGCGCGAATCTGTTTCGCTCAGCAGCGCGGTTACTCGTATTGTAACAAAAGCAATTTATGAGAGATCGCATAACACGAGCGCTAAATGAGTTGTCCGAACCAGAATTACGTACCAAGTTTCGTGCGATTCCGAATGGGAACTGCGAGGCGCCTGGAGAATTTAATTCGCCAGACGTTCTCGCGAGACAATTAAGTGATCGTTACTGGTAGATGAAAGAGTTTCTCGCTTAACAAATTTCAACATTCCATTACACGTAAGCTTATCGAGAGTCGAATTTATCTTCGCAAAGAGAGTTCCAACTTGGGACCGGAGCAGGGACCGGAATCGTTGTAATTAACTTAAACGTTTCCAACGCACGCGCCTAATCCCGCCAGGTTATCATAAAACGAAATATTAAATCGCGACGATTCGCTACCGACCTTGAAGATAACTATCGTCGTGCAACAAGCTGCCAGATTGTGGATGCATTTGCAGTGAGGCCGTTCGATCGACGACAGCCAGTCAAGACACAATGAAGGACTTCAGGGAGGGCACAAGCGTCTCTCTCACCGTAACGGGAAGTCGCTCGAATTCACGTCGTGGGAACTGAAGAAAGAGAGTCGTTATTTGTTTCGCGCACACCGGATACCATCGGAGTCTAGAAAACGGTGCAATTACATAAGGCGCATAGATTTTTCGTTTGCGAAATCAGGATGCTGAGATATCTTGGATTTTCCACGATGTGGAACACCGTCTGTATAAAGCAAGTCACCGCGACAAACTGTGCCGATCGTATTTCCACGAGGCACGAAAAATGAAATTGTCGGTTCGTGTGCAAAGTGTGTTGGTGGATTTTACAAAATTAATTTCCTTTGCCGGAAACAGGATAATCGAACATCTCTACGGCTCCGGTAGACAGAAACAAATCTTACAATTAAGTAAATTGTCTCGTACAAATCGTACCGATTAGGTCAAGTGAGTTACGGTTTCATATTTTATTCCTTCGCGGAAAGAGGAGCTCGGCTTCGTGGCCTATTGTGCGGCGGGTGATAAGAAAACTTCAACGTAAAGTGGCTCTACACACGCGTAGAGTATGCGGTTATGAGTCATCGGCGAATTATGCAAAAGTCGTCATGTCATTCGCCGGTTATCCGCGTATAATAATATACATATAAATAATAATCATAATACTCGCGATAAGGCCAGCGTACATAAATATCGGCAACGTTATTATTGCGTCCTTATTCCTCTTACGAAAGTTCCCCTGCAAATATCTAGTTTTTATATGTACAAAAATTAAGAAAGCCGAATTCTCCGACTGCTATTTAAGAAAGCTCTACTGCGTGGAGATATCAAACAGAGGCGGTTACAAGGAAGGCTTAGTTCAAGAGGGAAAACAGAAAACTGATATAGTAACGCGTATCGCATTAGTGTACATGGATTGATATAGTTATGTCCGCACAGGTGGCATCTAAAATCAGGTCGTTGATTCGAGAACTTGTCGATTACGAAAAGCAGGTTCAGAGACCTAAGCAAGTAGAGAATGATATCCGAGTCCGACGGCTGCCGAAGCTCGATCGAATACGATAGTTAGCACTCGTCGTAATCGATGGATGAAGCGTTCCGGTTGTTCGGCCACGGCTAATCCTTCGGCCGAAGGACGATTCCGGAGGCTGATGCACCCATGTATTTAAACGCGAGCAGAGAAATCCTTATTTATCGCGAACGTGAGCACTTGGAATCCGCGGTCGTATCTTTCAGAAGCAGGAAGTGTATCGTGACAGTATTTTTAAAGGCCTTATCTCGCGGTAAAACCTCATACTGATACGATACATCTTTCATCTACGGCACAAAGACCCCCGATAATCCGCGTGTCGCGGGCGATAGACAGGTAAATACAGCGCGGCTCAAAACAGAAATATTTACGCAAGTGCGTAAGAATTTGCGTTTTAAATAACGATTATTGTCCTTTTCCATTTACAAAAGCGGAGAACAATAACTCTTTCTCACGCAGAGATGTAAATGAAGATCTAGATGAACTGCAGTTACATAATGCATCAACGAACAGAGTCACACGTCCGCGCTCAGTCGCGCGGACTTCCTTCTGAAGGGAAGAAGATACGAAAGCCCTCTTTTGATCCGAAGAAAAGTATTGATTATATCAAAGTCCGAGTGTGTGTGTGTGTGTGTTGTCAGTAAAAGGATCGAGCCGTCGAGAGCGTGACGCCAGCGTCGTCTGGCGTCTTAATTGTATTAATAAATGGTTCAGACGAAGTCGTTTGATACCGTTGGGCCAGAGTCAACTCGAGCATTATCTTCATCACGTCTCGCACGAGATCCCTTTGGAGCCATTGCGAGTTCGTCCGGTTTCACCCACGATTTTTCTGCCGACCGACATTCTGCCGAGAATAGCAGCGGGCATCGCACGACGGCACTTCTCAGTCCAGTTGATGACGCAAGTAACAACGTGCATCACACCGATGCTTTTACGTGTCTCCCGTCGCGTGTCCTTCCATGCAATTTATAATGGACGGTCCGCGTTAGTTTTAGTAAAGAAATTTTTAACAAGCATCGAAAACGCCCGACAAGAACAGCGTTTCAAAATCAAATACTAATCGACACATAGTTCAGTACATGGAACAAAATGCTGTTGAATTAAAAAAAGAAAACTAAAGTTGCTTGAATTGAACGTTAACGTCACGGGCTGCCACAAACAGAAATAATTCACGCAATTGCGTTTACTATGGATTTTAATTAAGACAATTATCTGTTTTTCATTCATTAATACTGATGTTGTTTCAAACGATTTCATTTCAATTACACTGATCTTGTTGATACAACATCATTTTGTTTCCGCGTAGCCTTAAGGCGGAGTGTATAAAATTCAGGAGAATTATTAATATTACACTACAGACATAAGACGATTTCGATTACTTATTTGTATCGTCGGATATTTGTGATGCATCGTGTAACAAATGTAAATTTATCGCGTGAAAGTAGGAAGGTAACATCGTCAAATATGTAAATTTCGCGTGTTGATCAAAATGCAATTAAGAGATTGCATCGAGACTGTCCGCGAGGCACTTTGACCTCATTGCGCCACGTTGAGAAAAGAGAGAAGTGGATCATCGATTTGAGATTGGAATCCCAAAATCGAGGTCGACTTTGGCTGATACTTGCGCTAGCCGTTGATAGTTGATAGTTGCGTGCATCGATCACCTATGCACCGCGATGAACTTCCAACTAGGACGCTATCGCGAATTCGGGCGAGCGTTATCCGCGATCGGAGATCGTTATCAGAGTTTTGCAGTTAAATACATGATAAGAAAAACAGAAGGACGCGAAACGTCTCGTAAAGCCACCGACGGATGTAAAATTTTGCGATCGCACGTGCAGTTAGTTTTGCGATAGCAAGTTAATTGATTGACTAAGTGGCTAACGTGGTACACAGGTATGTGTAACACGTGTTCCTTTACGGGATATGGAACGTTTGGATTCTAGAGAACGCGGAGAAAGCGGCCGCGCGCCACACCGAGGCGGCAGATGCATTATTTTAGCGCTGCATCTAATCGACGATGGGTTCGCGCGAGGCGAGTTAAAATTATGATCTCGATAAGTAGAATGAGCGTGCGTACAGGAGCGTCCCGCAGCCTAGCAGGGAGCCTGTACAGTTAGCGGCCGAGTGTAACAGCGCGCAATTTTGACGGCGAGGCGCGTCATTCGTCGCGTTATAACTCATTAACTTTAATGATCCGCACGATTTGTTCCCTCTTAGCATCGTTTCACTTCCAAGGCCTAGCATTTGGGGCGCGCGAAAGCACACGATGGAAACATACGGAGGACATGCTACGCATTGTCAACGCACCACCTGTCGCGACAACGAGCGCCTGATTGATTTACGCTTAATCGATATAAAAGCGAATCTACAGACGTCTGGAGACACGCATGGGATCCGCGCACGTTAAATTTCTCAGCTTCGCTCGGCAAATAATTCATTTTCCGCCCTGAGCTGAGGCGATAAAGGTAGAAATCAAAGATTGAGAATTGTGCGTGTCTATTATAATCCGAAGTATGCGTATTTTTTTTCTCAGCGGTGCAAAGCAGCGAAAACAATTGTAGATAAAACATTTCAAAAAGCCGAGTCTCTACACTTTATATAATCTCAGTCTTATTGGAACCGTGAGAGCACGGGAGATCCTTTTTGCAGCGACATATTTCTATTCTGAAATCGGCGTCGAACGCGGTATGTAGGTCAAGGTTTCTTCTATTACGTCTTCTTTTTACAAAGTGTAAAAGATTCCGATAAACTGAACATCGACGCCCGTCAAGCTCCCCGCGACAGGAATGGACTTAATTTTATTTCGGACATCGAATTCCCATATTCCCCCAACAGAACTGTTCACACGTATGATAAGTCGCGAAAGCAGTCGGGTTTTAGGTGAGTAGACATGTCGCGGGCAAACAGATAAATCTTGTCAGAGCCACCCCTTTCTTTCTCTGTCATCCGATATTATATTTTTAAGGCAGGAAAACGTTTCTCCGAATAACTGTGCGATTATGACCTTAAGCGCAACGGGAGCCGGATCTATATTTCTCCAGAGAATGTCTTCATTCCTTATGTACGGTCAGAAATGCTCTAATTTTGTTACTCTTCTAATTTCCTTCCACTGAATTGTTAACGCTACGTGGCTCATAGTGCAACGTCAGTAATTAAAGATCAATTAATCGTGATTTTGAGCACAAAATTTTATCTAAAGTTAAATTTTTATTTGAAAAATTTAATGCTGATTACATCAATTGTAAAGTCTGTGCTCAAGTTTGGACGTAAAAATTCGTTGATTTTGGCATTGTAAAAATAAAATGAGAGTCTGACAGTTACCTTACTCATTTTGTTTTTCTTTATTTTAATCCTAGGCTAATCAGCTTTTGTAAAAAGTGGGCAATATTCCGGCCCTTTCCCATAATTAGCTTTTTATGTCAGATAACACGGTCGTCAGTAAAGACCTGTCAGCGTACACACGACCGGGTTATGGACAGGGCTAACGGTAAGAAAAAGAGAGATGACCCGGCGGAAAAAGAAAGTGCAAGAGCCATTTCTCTTGTACGGGGACGTCACCGAGGATACGTGCAGATTTCTCGACGAAAGCAAGAGAGTTGCACCTACTCTAAAGTGTAACGCGCGGCGCCGATGGAAACTTAATCTGTAATCGAACCGATCATCGTTGATGCTTGCTATGAATACGAGCGAGCTCGGTGAGGTGATAGCTATTTCAGATCGCTCAATAAAATCTAAATTGGCGCACTAAAAGCATGCAACTTTTATGGGCTTTTGAAAGTCCAAGTCGAAGGCCTCTTATTAAATCATATTGAAGATATTAGATATCAAAGTCGTTTTTACAAACAGATATTTATGTTTAGAGTAAGGAAGATTAGATGCGTCTATTCTATTAAATGTACCAATACTGTCTAAACTGTATTTTTAAGGTTGACAAATTCATATTCAGCGAATTAGTTTCGTTCATTTCAATTCACCGACTTTCTTCGTTTTCCAAAAGCATTTCTTCACGATTACGATACGCGCGATGCTTAATGTACCTTACTTCGAT